TGAATACTAACTCAGGGCTGCCAACATTTGGCTTTAGCTTGGGTGAGAATGTATGCCCCGCCCCTATGCCCACAAGTCCCGCCCACACTAAACCACGTCCCCATTTATTTATAAATCTATAAAAATTATATATTATTTTAATAAATACTTTTTATAAAATATTTATAATAAAGTATTATTATTATTATCCAATTATTATTCTATTCTCAATTCTAGGCTAAATTATCCGTGGTGTATGTGTGAGAATGAGTATGTATTAGCATTTCCCAGTGATGGGCTGCAGCTGGAAGGACATCCGCTGTGTTAAACATTTGCTGGATAAGTTGGCGATTCATTCCACTGTGGCGACCCCAGATTAATAAAGGGACTAAAGAAATAAAGAAAATGAATGAATGAATGAATGAATGAAGTCTAAACTCCCTGACCTCATCCCCCCTTTCTGCTTCATGCAAAAAAAAAAAAAATAAAAAATCTATATTTGTCTAACTAATCATCACATTGTTTAAACTTTAGACTTGCAAAACTCACTTAAGGCTGACACCTGTAGTCTACATAAAAGGCTGTTACCCCTGCATAAAATGCACTCCCTCTGAAATATGCATCTATTAACTGAAATTGATACAATCTTTTTAATAACAGCGAACCCCTGCCTTACAGAAGATAAGTTTTAATGAAAGTCTATGAAACGGGTGCGTTTTACGGCAGGGGTGCGTTTCTTAGCACAACACAACGCATAAGTGCGTGTGGGCAGCGCGTATTTATTCCTATGTTTACAACTGGGATTCATACCGGAGCGGGAACGCAAGCAGCGCGTCAGCCAAGCCTCTTTTAATGTGACAGACTAAAAGTGTTACTGATAAATAGGGAAACTTCTCCTAAAGTCAAGCTGATTGACTTTGGATGCGGAGACATTCTGAGCATATCACAATACAAGACATACAGGAGTATAAATTATGAAATTAATCAAACCTACCCTGTATAAAGGCAAGACCTTCATCACAATAAAATTAAACAAAACACTTGAATTGCTATAGGAATAATAATCAAAGAGAAGATGTAAAAGTTTAACATCACAGAATGTGCCTGCACAGAATGCTGATGGCTAAGAAAACTCCTACACCACCCCCAAACTGGGCTAATAATTCTGGAAAAGCTCCCACAACTACTTTAAAGTTGACCTAAGATCAGATGGAAATAATTCACTTTCTCATCAGTAGAAACTGTCAAACTGGATATGGTTTCAGGTCATCACATCAGACCGCTCCATCTGAAGTCTTTTGTAAAGCTTGGTATCTTGTGAGCTACAACGGGAGACACCTCCATTCCTCCTATAGCCTTTGCATCTTGCGGAGTGAGCAAGCCTTGTAGAATGTTTTGCACCTTTGCTTGAGAAAGCAGTATTAGGATATGTGAGTGCTGTCTCCAGGAGGATCCTGTATATACTGTATGCTTATACTTCATTTTGATTGTGTGACACAATTGGGCACTAAAATTAAAACAAGAGTTTATATTTTGGATAAGGTCTTAAATAAGATAACCCTCTTGGATAAAGATTCAGAAGCATCAAATGCTCTTCTAATGGTCCCGAGACCAAGGCTTTAACCTTACATTTTAGCAAGTTTTAATGTTTTTTTTATTTTTATTTTTTTGTAGTAGTAGTATTATGATATTTATGAAGTTATTATGAAGCCTGTTGGATTGTGTTTTTTAATATTGTGTGTAAGGGATTCATGTTTGTTGCCCATGACGCTACTGCCCTAATTTAATCACCCCTGGCAGGATTAAAGAAGTTGTTAAACTTAAACTAAAATTAAATAAACTTCAATAAAATAAAATTGTCCTCAAAGAAAATGTCAGTATTTTAATTCAATTAAAAAAAAAAACGTTTCAAACTGGGCAGAGCGGTGGCACAGTGGGTAGCAATGTCGCCTCACAGCAAGAAGGTCTCTGGTTCAAGCCTCAGCTGGGTCAGTAGGCATTTCTGTGTGGAGTTTGCATGTTCTCCCCATGTTCTTGTAGGTTTCCTCTGGGTTCACCTATAGCACAGTTCAGACATGTGCTATAGGTGAATTGGGTAGACTAAATTGTTTGTGGTGTTTGTGTGTGAATGAGTATTGGCATTTTCCAGTGATGGGTTGTAGCTAGGGCATCTGCTGTGTAAAACATATGCTGGATATGCTGGCGGTTCATTCCGCTGTGTCGACCCCTGATGAATAAAGGGACTAAGCCGAAAAGAAAATGAATGTTTATTAGGCAAAAGGTGTGTTATTATGTTACAGTAGTTCTAATTTCTAACCTAAACGTGCATGAAGTGCAAAAGTACTTGTGATGCTTGACTAACCTAATAACCCAAAAACTTTTTCAAGTTTATTCAGAATTATCCACTCTTATAGATGATGAGAAAGAGGATGAGAGCTGGTGTCTATTGAAAAATCAAAACAACATTGTGAGCATATGAATATGACAATGTGAGCAAATTAATTCACAGCACTTCAATTAAAATTTGAACACAAGTATACATTTTATGCAAGTTTAAATAAACTTACCTCATAAATAGATCCACGGCAAAGGGGAACACTCATCCAAAAATAAAAGTTTGCTGTTAATTTACTCATTCTTAGTGCTTCGAAGTTGTGGGTGATTGTTTTTTTTTTTATTAAAAAAAGATTTTTGACAGAAATTGTGGAAAAACTAAATCTATACCGATTGCTCCTGATGATACATCAAGGTCTTTTGTAGTGAAGCAGCTTATATTTGCAAGAAAGACTACTCACAACATTGCTTTTGTTTTTTTCATAACACCTCAACTCATCGTCAGTGGTCATGGGTAGTTTTTTTTTAGATTTGTCAAAATCACAGGTGTCAAATTCAGTTCCTGGAGAGCCACAGCTCTGCAGTTTAGTTCATTTGTTCATTGTGTTTTCGGCTTAGTCCCTTTATTAATCAGGGGTCACCACAGCAGAATGAACCAACAACTTATCCAGCATATGTTTTACACAGTGGATGCCCTTCCAGCTGCAACCCAACACTGGGAAACACCCATATACTTTTGCATTTACACACATACATTACAGCCAATTTAGCTTATTCAACTCCCCTATAATGCATGTCTTTGGACTGTGGGGAAAAACCGGAGCACCCGGAGGAAAAAACTAAGCGAGCATGGGGAGAACATGCAAACTCCACACAGAAATGCCAACTGACCCAGCCGTGGCTCGAATTAGGTCAGTTGGCAAAGTTGTTGCTGTGAGGCAATCGTGCTACCCATTGCGCCACCCTGCACAGTTTAGTTCCAACCCTAATTAAACACACATGATCAAACTAATTGAGTCCTGGCTTGTTTGAAACCTACAGGTAAAGCTGCGGTCACGCTGGGCTTTTCCTCCTATAGACTTCCATTCATACGCACGCAAATTCGTCAGACCGGAAACGCAGGGTCATGCGTCAAGTTTTGTAGGTTGCTGCGGTGCAAAGTTCAAGCTTGGTGAACTCTGACCTGTGAAATCGCACCACTTGACTGCGTGAGACCAATCGAGGATCAAAACATGACCTCTCTGGACAGAAATTTAAAACATGGAGCAATCACTCGCTTTTTAATGTCTAGTCATCTTGTTTAATCCCGCCCCTTTTCATAACGCCGTTTGACAGAATTTTGCACACACAAACTCTAGTGTGACCGCAGCTTAAGTGTGTTGGAGCAGGGTTGGAACTAAACTGTGCAGGGCTGCAGCCCTCCAGGAACCGATTTTGACACCCCTGAATCTATATATATATATATATATATATATATATATATATATATATATATATATATATATATATATATATATATATATATATATATACTTTTTTTTACATTTTGGGCTGTTTGAATGAGCAAGGTCTACATGTTCAGCTAAAAAATCATGCGAAAGATATATTTGGTAGTTTTAGACAGCAGTAATAGACGAAAGCTGAAATCAATGATTAAATCGTACAGATTGTAATTTTCTTTTTGACCAACAGATGGCAGTCAATAGGTGATTTTGTAAATTCATCAGTGAGTTTTCTTAGATGCTTAAATATATTACAGCATCTGTAATATTTCAGGGTTTCTTCGGGGTCTTAAAAAGTCTTAAATTTACTGAAATATTGATTTTAAATCTTGTTTAAACAGGTCTTAATTTTCCATTGTTCGCGTTTTGCTTTCAAATCTGGCCAAAGCCCATACAATCACCAAAAATCACCTCAATAAAACTTAAAACTTTTTACTTAAAAAGGTCATTTGTAACTCTATTTATCATAATGGTTTAATTATTTTCCGTACAGTAACATTTGTTTGAAAGTTCTCCATGTATTTAAATCTGAGGACACCGACCATCTGCACAGATGCAGATTGCTGTGCATAGGTTTAGTTTATTATAGTTTTTAAAACTTTTAAAACATTTATTTTTTTAAATTATTTTCAATAAAGTTTAAGTTGGAAAAAAGTGTATGGAAGTACAGCTTGCTTGTTATTACACATTATTATCATTATATTATTAAATTATAATTTGTTTTGATAGGGCAAATAAAAATCTTTTCCGTCTGGGCCATTTGAAAAATTCCTTAGCCTTTAGCCCTTTATTGGTCAAAAATGTTATTCATAATTGTATTAAAAATGTCTTAAAAAGTCTTAAACTTAACTCTTAAATCTTAAAGGCTTAAAGATAAGTTTTTGTAAATAATGACTCCGTTAGCAAGCAGGATGAGGTCTTTTTTTCTGTACTTTCTTTGTAATTTTCATTGTTTTCAAATGAAAAAGAGATGCTACACTACGTAGTATGCACGAGTAACTTAATGAGTACGATTTCACATCCAAAATGCTATAGTAAAGCAGTATGGACTGTATAATTTTACAAAAAAAAAATTGCACATATATAGCACTAAATAAAAAAAGATGGCCTAGATCTCAGAATAATGTTAAGTTACATTTAATGACGAACAGAAATCTAATTAAAAAGGAAGCAAAGTCTGTCTAATTCACATTAATGTACATTTTATTCATATCGCTTTTTTTGTTGTTTAATCTTTTTTAAAGACATGACATTAAATACAGAAGGCACTTACAAAAATGGTTAAATTATAGAAACATATTGACAAGGATTAAAAATAATCAGAACAAATAAGGACCAGAGATAGCGGCACATGGCAGCCTTGTACAGTACATCTCAAATAAAATCTACAGAGCGCTAATCTAAATACAGTATAAAGAGGATTTATTGTTATTAGTTTAATGCCCCTACTAGGTTTTCATACATAATTTAATCATCTGAAATACAGAAAGCACGTAACACAATTGTTTTTTGTCACTAGTAAGTGGTTCTTGTTTTTGTTGCAATTTGTTTGTTTTAAATGTTAGGCTTTGTGGTTTCTGCACAGGAGTACTGGTACAGCTCCATCAAACGGTTGGCCTCCCTCTGTCCTGACAACAAAGCACCGTGGGTAGTGGAATAGTATTTTCTATGGGTGGCCTCCCCAGCAAACAACACCTGAAGAGGCTTTGGACAGAAGAAAGAAAAGGAGGACAAAATGTTAGCTTGACCAAACATATGTTCTACTACATGCTGCCTGGGGCCTGGTTGGATATTTTTAGCACAGATCTCAACCTTTCTGCGGTAAAAAAAAAAAAAAAAAAAAAGATTTCGTAGGTTTTTTGTGTGTGTGTGTGTGTGTGTGTGTGTGCAGCGTTGAGGTCAGACTGTTCCTTTCAGACCCCTAATTGGCCAGATGATGTTTGTGTGCGTGTATGTGTGTGTTTATTTGGCAAATGTACAACCCAAGCTTCTCGTCTGACTCAAATTTCAGTCTCGGCGCTGCACAGGTCAACATGACACATTTTTAAAAACTACCATGCAAGCAGATTGAGTTAGGCTGACCGTAGAGCAGTCCAGGGACATCTAAACAAAATCCAAAAGGTGAAAGGGCAATGTAAAGCTGGGCTTTCGTTGTTTTGGAGTTTTCAAATCCTGACTGATTATTAAACTGGGATAATCACACTGATTATCAAGCCTACATGCTTGCAGATTACATAGCAGATTGCAACTGATCACTATATTTAACAGCTTCTTACTACTGTTTTAGCCGGTGTTCAATAATACAATATCTTATGATAATAAATATGAAGAGTTCAGATGCAAAAACCTTTAAATACCATCTGAAATATTCTTCTAAATTGAGCATTTTCTTCAGCCTCCTATGTTTATGTTTAATTATTTCACTTTAAAGGCAATGGAAAGAACTTATTCATTATATAAAAGAAAAGAGCCTACACACAAAAAAATTACTTTAGAAGAAAATGTCAAACAGCATTTAGAGGTTTTTGCATCTAAACTCTGCGTATGCACAGTATTGTTATCATGGGCTATTGTAAGTACTGTGAATGATTTTTAGGCCACACTTTATGTAACGGATGAAAATATGATGTGATACTGCATGTAACATGCTATACAAGAGGATAAAACCCATTTTAAAGTATTATTGGTCTACTGAGAGTACAGTTACCTGGGTAATGTTACATAATTAATGTCAGTAATAACATTTAATATATTTATAGAGCTAAATGTTAACACAATCAGATTCCAATAGTCAAGTACTTGCCATTAAACTAAACTATTTTTAAAGGCACCCATTTTACCTCTTTTTTTAAGTCTTTTGTTTCTCCAGAATGTGTCTGTAAAGTTTTAGCTCAAAATGCTCAACAATTTATTATACCTTTTAGAATATTGGAATTTTCTGCTTTGAACAATTTGTAGTGGTTTTTGTAGTCTGTGCCTTTAATGCTGGTTCTTCCCACCCACCGTTCCCGACCTGCCTGTCAGAGTGTGCCTCAATCTCAGGCTCGGCTGCTTCAGATAAACAGCACAGTGACAGACATGAAGCAGATGTCACGTAATGTTTGTGGGAAATGCTACAGTGAGAACTTTCCCAATGATTATTTAATGTATTTGTTGTGGAGTTAATGAGTCACAGAATTATAAGTCGACATGAGTGACACACAATGTCGTTACAAAGTTCACACACACACACACACACACACACACACACACACACACACACACACACACACACACACACACACACACACACACACACACACACACACACACACACACACACAGTGTGCGCATTTAACTTTGCACTGTTTTCGCACACAAATGTGACAGGATACACGTTAATATCCACCTCTGTATAGATTTCTGTTATGTTAATGTACAAAATAAACCTGATTTAGCGTCCACAAACCAGGATTGAAGCTTCTTTGATAATTATACTGACATGCGGCTGTGGTGATACATGCACTGTTTTAAAAACTGAAAAACTTGTAAAAAAAAACAAAAAAAAAACTTGTTTTGAAACTTGTAAAACTCATTCTTGATCACATTTGATGATGATTGATGATCTCAGAGCGCTGAACAGATCTTTTAATCCCTGTTGCTTTGCGCACATCCTGTATTGTTGATATGATTATACGTGTTACTACAAATACATGTTTATACGCAGATGTCAATCAAATCGGTGGGTGGGGAAACAGTGGTCGGCCTCAAAATGGTAAGAATTTGCATCCTATTTTAATGTCAGAAAGTTTTGAAAAGGAGACTTATTGTGTTTATATCACTCCAATATGACTGTGGACACACTATACCAACACACAGTTCTGTTCAAACAGCTTACAAAAGATGATGCCCTATAAAATACTCGTAATCATACAGCAGTTACTTATTTTTTTGGCTACACTTTTAAACAGCTACTTTCTACACTTACTGTACTAAGTACCATCAAAACTGAGGTGTTTCTCCCTAGTGTTTCTGTTTGTCCATACAAATGTTCAGCTTGTTTTTGACAAACTATATTCAGACAGTTTAAAATCTAAATTCCTCCAACTTCGCTATCCAATGGGCCTGAACAGCAATTTGCTTCTGGGTATTGGCTTTATTATCCTGACTTAAACCTCCTAAATATCAAAAATGTTTCTTTGTAGAGTGATTCTGATGTTTCTTTGCGCTGCCTGGGAGGAGTAAGATTTGATCTTGCACTACCAGTTAGTCTGGGACATTGAAACCGAAATTAGTTGGCATTAAAATATAATTTCCTTGGATTGTCAGTTAAATCAGCATAAAACTCATGTGTGGGGGCCTTTGTTCTGTGAGGCTTAAGTGGTTCTTAAAATAATTGAAAAGACTTTAATTGAAATAATCAGAAACAAACTTATTCCTTAAATGGACACCTGTTGGCCTAAGTTAATGGAAAATAAAAATCCAATTTTTTATACAATTTAACACAGAGAACCAATACTTTTTTCATAACGACATTTCATAAATTATGATATTTAACCTAAGTTAAGAAACATTGTGCAAAATATGCAGTATTTTCTGTACAACTGAGTGTAAATGTAAACTCACTGGAGCCTTGGTGTTTTTAATGTAAGGCAGGGGCTCAGCAAGCTTCTCCACATCTCTGCCGCTTGAGCCCACTCTAGTGAAGGAGTAAGAACCCCGGATATACGGATTACTGCCCCATGAGGAGCGCAGGATCCGCCTTGGCTTCGGAATATTCTGGTTCCCTGTTAGAAACATTAAACATGTTAAAAGAAACATCTAAACTATGTAAACCAATGAATTAATAAATATTTATTTTTATTGTATGCACACTGTAGTACAAACTATATGAGGTTGGTGGTATTACACAAAACCCTATTTTCACGCACTGTAAATGTGGTCAAAACACGAGTAAACAAACCCTTAGGTTTACAGTCACAATGAAAACAAATTAGGAGACCTATCAATTATCAGTCATGAGGTGTGACTAAATCCAATTTCAGCACACTAATTACATTGGACTGGGGCAGATGGGAGAGGAACGTGCCGTGAATCTGGATTAAAACAGACTGACCTACTTAAGGGGCATGGCAGCCTGTTGACATCATCTACAGAGAATGTGTGCATTGACCCTTATATCTGGTTAAGCATTCGGTCACGAAAGAGTTCCACCAGAACAGAAAGCAGAGATGTTTACAGTACAATCTTTCATACAACCCTGAAAACCTTTAAGCCCTTGTTTAAACCTTGTTCTTCTGTCTTGATTTAACAGGTATGTCTTCTTTCATGTCATGGAGGAATATAACTTAAAAGCATGGAAATAAGAAGAAGCTGGAAATAATCTACCTTGACTGTTACATTTAGAACAGGTATTATGTAGTTGGAGAGGGTATTAAAGAGCTAAATTCATTATGTAACAATTAATTAAAAAAATGCACAGTGCTAGGTTTAAAAGATTAAAAAAATACTTTAACATCCATCCGTAGACACTCAGGGAAGTGGTTGAAAAAGGATTAAGACATTAAAGGTACAGTATGTAAATTTGACACCCAGTGGTTGAACTAGGTATTGCACTCCTGGATCAAAACAAAGGCAAGCGCAGGTTGCCAGACTGAGGACGGGAGCAAGTGATTTAAACAGTGTTTTAAATAAAAGCAACGGCACCCAACATAAGAAATATTTTCCATATTAAAAGGAGTTTTTGTCCTAACCAACACCACCATTGATTATATTAGAAACGGCTTCTATTTCTTGCAGCTGAATCACACAAAATTATGACAGGTACACCTTATGTGCTTTATTCAGCGTTAAAGGCTACTAATTTGAGATTGAATGCCATTTTACGTGACATTTATTGCCAGCAGCAGCAGATAGTTCACCTCAGATCTTGAAAATTAAATAAACCGTTTGAAATTAAACTTTAGAACTAAACACATGAGTGCTTCAGCATCTACATTTCATAATGTTAACGAGGGTTCATATGTATAAAATAGATTATAAACCTTATAATTTCATGAGTGAGTGCATGTTCTGTGCTTCTGAATGGCTGTATTTAAATTTCGGTCATGTTTCGTCTGGTGCAAACAGCCAAATTGCTTATCACTGCGTATCTCGTCTCAAAGCTAGTTAGGACACGGGGTTACAATGTAACCTCCTCACCTAATGTTTACGTTTGTAATATTTATATTATTTGCTAATTAATAACCTCATATGGAACTCGGAATCTGTGTCTCATTTTGGAGTCTGCTACTGTCCACCAGAGGTCGCATTTCAGGCACGGATGCATGCTTTCAGAGCCTTTCTGTATGAATGAATGAAATATGCTGTTTTTTTACCAAGGCAACCAGGGGAGCTGAAATATAGTTGGCTAAACTGGCATTGGGAAGATTAAAAAGACCAAAACAAAGACATGTTCCGGCATGGAAAATACATTTTCAAAGCAGAATATCTGACTTGTTTTTCAGATAAACACGAACGTTCACTTAGCATGTTTCTTAAATATCTGCAAACATATTGTTTTTTATGCTTTAGAAGAGTCAAAAACTTACATACAGCACATTTAAGTGTATATGGGGATCCCTCTCCCATCCACCTTTCCCCTTAACCACAGTTCAACTTAATACCAAAAGTAAACAGGACCTTAGCAGTGGTGTGAAAGTGAAGCAACCCAAAACATGCCATTAAAACACTAAAGGTGTAATTATCTTGTTTCCTCACATCCTAATTGAAGACTAGTTAAAAAGAATTTCACCCAAATGATAAGAATCTTGCATAATGTGTATAATTACACTGAATATAATTACTTGTCTAATTGCAGTGAACGCGCTGACCTGTGAACTGGCGCAGTAGTTCTGTGCATATCTCCGCCACAGTCTCGTCGTCACACCTTTCCATGCGCAGGGCCTCTTCTCCGCAGATCCATCCACTCAGCATGTGGCCATAGCGCTCGGGCGGATACAGCACATCAAAGCTGCAGATCTTTCGGTACCACAGCTCTTCTGGATATGCCTGGCTCTCCAGTTGTGCCTCGTCCTCCCACACAAACTGAATGCTGTTGCATTCTGGGCTCCAGAAGGGCTCTGCAAACTCCAGAAAGATCTTGTCAGTGGTGCTAATGCCCAGTTTCTGGATGGCCTGTGCCTTGTCTTGTGGAAGGCCTGGGGAGAAGAGAGTCTTGTGAGCTTTCTTCAGGACCCCAAGAGAGGCAGTTAAGATCACATGGTCCGCCAGCAGACGCTCGCCGTCTTCGCACTCCACACAGACCGGAGAAGGGCTGGGCCGTTGGTCCTGGTTATGGTCAACCTGGTCTCCAAATTCTTCTGCATCCTGGGAGCTGCAGTTCCAGTGGACGCGGCGGACAGGCTTGCTAAGGTGGAGGACACAACTCGGGATGTCCTGAGCCAGGATCTCAACAACTTTAATGAAACCAGTGGGAATGACATGATGAGCGCCAGGAATCTCAGTCCACTCGCCAAACTCACTTAGAGACACTTCATCCATGTTGGGGGAACTGCTTTCACAGCTCTCCACCTGAGGCACACAAGAAGACACACATTGCTAATCTTACCCTACTGTAAGACTACTTCTTGGCACTTGTATGGCCTTGCTTTGGTTCATTAACTGTTGGTTTCATCCTGTCACAGTGAACGCATGGGCTCTGCTAAACACCACGTTCACTCTAAGGTTACTGTTCTGAAGTACACTGCTGTAAACAAACACAGGCAGACATAGTCTAGCAGGCATAAAGCCAACTGAGTGCTTTTTCTGGTCCTGGCCCCTTCCTCCCATAACCTCTAGCATTACAGATTGACATTCAATGGTGACATTTAACACTTTTACTTCAATAGCTTTCATTACTACCCGAGTCTCAATGAATAGTTTGACTAAACAGTTTCAGTATAAAAAAAGTTGAATTATTTAATGAATTATAAATGCAAGCCCTTTGCAACTCTAGGCTGTGTGAGAAAAGAATAAAAATGTTGTTTGGTTGGAATCCACACCTCTTCTCTGAAGTCTATGGTTTTGAATTTCACAAAGAGAACCTTGCTGTTGTGACAGAATGGGAAGAGTGCAGTAAGCCTGACATCACTACTGTATTACAAAAGCTGAAGAGACACGCAATGCATTTATTATTGTCATAGAGTTGCAGTAAATGTGCTTACGACAGTAACTCTGCTACTTCCTGTTGGGGCCTGTTAAGATGTCAAACATGATACCACACCTTATATTTCAAAATAAGGTCTAGAGAGGTATGTCTGGAGAGTCTATAGGAGGAACAATGGGTATGTTACCATGAAACTATGGGTTAGCAAAACATGGGAAAATATAGACCATAGAGCCCAGCTCACCTTGAGGTACTGTTGTAGCATAGATAACTTGAGCTTCCTGATGCTTTCTGAATCATAAGGATCAAGCATGATTTTCTTGCGCACCACGTCTCGTGTGAAGATCCCCACACTGTTTTGACTCTCAGCTCCCACAGGCTTTCCATTCTGGAAGAACTCCTGAGTCAGCTCATACACCTGCACAGAAGAGGTTGTTAAACAAGATTAAAAAAGAGAGAGAGAGACCTGAGAGACATCAGATCACCCATCCTTTCCACTACAAGTGTTTTATTGTATTAGTCACTGTGGTCGAAACACAGTATGGTCTAAATCAGGGGTGAAGTACCTTGACCTTGGAGAGCAGCTGTTCTGCAAAGTTTAACTCCAACCCTGAAAAAATACCTGCCTAAATCCTGAAGACCTATGCTGTATCCAAAATCGCCCCCTCATTCACGACTCCCTACATTTGTCCACATGAATAAGTGAATGCAATGTAATGTGTATTTATATAGGGCATTTATTGTGTATGGCCATACACCCAAAGCGCTTCACAATCATGAGGGGGTCTGTCCACACCACCACCAGTGTGCAGCATAGACTTGGATGATGCGAAAGCAGCCATAAGGAAAATGGCGTTAGTGCGCTCACCACACACCAGCTATTGGTGGAGTGAAGAGATAGTGATAGAGCCAATTCGGTGGATGGGGATGATTGGGAGCCCATGATTGTAAGGACCGATTGAGGGATTTTGGCCAGGACACCGGCGTTACACCCCTACTCTTTAAAATAAGTGCCATGGGATATTTAATGGCCACAGAGTCAGGACCTCGATTTCCGTAAGACTTTGGAGTGCATTAGGGGTATTTTCTTGCTGTTTAGTGTACATGGGTTGTACACTCGTTATTACAGTGGATTATGGGATTGATTGAGTGCACTTCTGAACGCTACAAATTGCTGTTCCCTCAAATACTGGACTATTTAACATCGATTAGTTGTTCAATTTTGTTTGGTTTGGATTAGAGCTAAACTCAGCAGGGACTGAATTTTTTGTCTACATTTTTATTTATTTTTTTTACTCTTGTCTAAATTATGAATTATTTAATGGGATAGTTCAACCTAAAATTAACAGTGTCAATTTACTCACCCTCATGTTGTTAAAAACCTGATAGTTTAACTTGCCAAATATTTATTGTATGATACAGTGCCTGATAATACATTGTCAAATGTAAATTTATAGAATAAAAAGTCTCTTAACAACACAGGGATCTAGCAAAAGATTGTTGGAGAGATAGAGAGGTCGATAAGTTCACTCTGAGAGATACAGCTCAAGAAAAGAAATCAACAACTAAACATATAGACTTTACTCTGGCAGCCTTGAGCTTGAATCGCTTTCTCTAAAAAAAAAAAAAAAAAAACAATTCCTGAGGGTGTGTTCATTGGAGAAAAAAAAACAGGTAGGAGCAGTTACAATGCAGTAGTCAACATTTGAAGTGGATCATCACCTTTCACAAAAGTTGTCTTAAAACTATTGAACAACACCCATTCCTGTCCAAGGACAATTTTGAAAACCATTTCTGATTCACTTTGAATGTTGACTACTATATATTAGGTTTCATAATGTTGAGATTCTCTAAAGCTTTGCCATTTATGAACAAAGCCCATCCCAGGGCTCAACAATAAGGACTGCCCGGTGGCCCGGGGCCAGCGTGAAAGACACTCGGGACAGTAGACAGGATTGTTACTGGCCCCTATCGGCCAGTAACGATGAGAATGTTTTTTTTGTTTATTTTTTTTTGTAACCTGGTGACAACCAGTACAGTGAAAAGATGGCAACATGGTGGCAAATTTAAACAATGAGGCTAAAAGAAAACGTTTCTAAAGGCTTAGAAGCAGACCATTACATGGGTACAAAATTAAGAAACTGAAAAAGAGAACAACAAAAAAACAGTTGTCAGTTTGGCAAGCCATTTTTATAAAAAGTTATTTAGAATTGCATTAAAACACCAGCACATTTTTCATACTGCTCTTTCATTTGAAAAAAATCTTGAATCTTGAATTTTGCTTATTATACATTTATTAACATATTTAAAATGTTTAAATTCTACAGGCATAATTTTGCCACTATTTAAAATATGTGGCTAAGAAATAGCTATTAACTTTTTAGTTTTTTTGGTGGGGCTAGTGAAAATTTTGACAGGGCAAGTAAAAATCTTAAGCAATGGCCCGATCGGACCCGTATAAAAAATCATTAACGTTGAACCCTGCATCCTCCGACTTTAAACTCTGCTTATAATGTCAATGAACCAAATATAGAGCCGGCCGAATACTTAAGTGACCACATCACATTTTGGAAATGCTTTGCATCCTGAGGAGGTCCTAGACTTATCATATGTACATATTTTATAAAACATGCCATGCAGCTCTCGTCTATCACCTCATTGTACAGGTCACTGAACTCTTCCACCAGATCCTTCGGGATTCGCTTGCCATTATTGGTCTGGTAGTGGGCCACACCATTTTTGGCGTAGAGGCTGATGCGGCCCACACTCCTTTCCTCCTCTGTGGTGTGCTCCAGCAGTCCATTGTCCTCAGCCAGGTGGTAGACGGGGTTCCCATTTGCCCCATGGATCCAGGTTGCTCCAAGTTCCAAAGTGGTTTTACCTGTGGAGATAGGAAGGAAGGGAACATTGAAAAGAAGCAGATTAAATCTAAAAAAGTTAGGATGAAGTTATATAGTTAGTTAATCCCAAAATTAAATCTTTGGAAAACAAATAAGATAATTTAGATGTAATCCAACAGATCCAATATTGATCAAAGATGGCAACGGGCCTGAAATGTTCAAAGTCCATAAAACAATGCATGTCACGTCATTTGTAATCAAAAAAAGCTTAAAGAACACTTTTGTGTGCAAAAAAACAAACAAACATTTGTAAAAACTATTTGTTCACCAGTGTCTTCGTTATAGCATAAGAGTGAACATTTACTATGATCAAAATGCAATGCTTGTGTGTTGCACTGCTCACTTTTATGACAATACATCATACTTTCTTTGGCACACAAAACTATTTTGGGGCTTTGTATGATTACAGTTGAACCACTGAAGTGACACTTAATATTTTGGCAATGTTTCTGGTTCCTTTTCTGGGCTTTGAATCACTAGACCATTGCTGTCTGTGGAGGGAGAGAGAGCTCTCTGATTAAATCTAAAATATCTAAATGTGTATTCCAAAGATGAACGAAAGTCTCAGGAGACTAGAACAGTATGAGAGTGAGAAGTCAGTTTCAGGGTAAGTATGAGTTTATGGCCCATTTATACTGAGTGGTACGGTACGGTTCAGTTTGGTACGCTTTAAGGGTCATTTCCACTGTCAAAAGGTACCTAAAAGGGAACCGTACCATACCACTTTTTGGGTACGTTTTGCAAAGGGTACCTAGCACAACAAAAGGGTACCAAAAGGCGGAGTTAGACACACAGCTGAACGCTATTGGTTTACAGAGAATCGTCACTACTGCATACACAAGCTAAAGAATAAAACCAAAGGAACCACCATTTTTAAATACACAGCCAAGACATTACATTGTATTAATATATACATTTAATAATGAACCAGTTTTGACCTGAGCTCAAACAAACCTAAATCTGCCTTGTCCTGTTTTTGTTTTACGAAAGCTCCAGAGAGCTTGCGATCACTTGCATGCGCACCTATATTAGAAATAAGTTCTTGAGCTGATGATAATCATGTGCACATGATTATTGAAGTGCTTCTGACACCCGATCCTTTCAGAAACAGACAAACGTGAGAGTGAACAGTAAAAAAAAACAAGGAGAAGCTTGAAAAAACAATGAAGCAAATGATTCTTAACCTAAACCGTTAACAAACTGCCATGTTTAACTATTATCATCGCCTTTTGGACTATCACAAACTCGGAATGACAGAATTACTTTCTGACAGAGGTTATATGTGCTGGTGAAGAGAGGTTTGCACGGACTGTGGGCTATAAGTTAAGAGTTGTTATTTAACCTAAATAAGGACTAAATGTATGCTTTGTGTAGATTTTCTGTAATTGGTAACATATTGGCGACTGTAAGCATATGTATGTGTTCATACATAAGTATTTATGTGTATAAATCATCTGTTTTGTGAGAAGTTTGGTATCCATTGGTACCCTTTTGGCAGAGGAAATGCAAGCCTGATAAAGGTTACCCATACCAACCCGTACCCTACTGTACCAGTAAGTAGAAACGGACCATTAGATTCAACTAACATTCTAAAAGTAAAAAGGAAGCTGTTGTCTCACCGTGCTGAATGCTTTGCACTCTGCCTCCAATACGGTCTGAGGCTTCTAGCACCGTAACATTGGTGAAGCCGTTCTCCAAGAGGGTTTTGGTAGCAGCAAGGCCGGCCAAGCCCGCACCAATCACTACTATTCGCGGTTGTCGATGTCCGTGTAAGGCACTACTAAGAGGATCATCAGTGCTGTCTGAAGATATTTCACAACTTTGCATGCCGTCCGAGCTCTTCTTCTAGGGAATCTAGAGAGGGTGAAACAAGGAGAAATCATTACAATACTAAGCCCTCTAGCAAGACAAAAAATAGAGACCATTCACAGAAAGAAGGGGAAATAATGCAGGAAAAGATACAGAACTTTAAATTTTTACTCATGTGGTTCTGAAGACCGACTACAACACTGTCTCTTTTCAGAGCACAACCTTAAATAACACCACTCCCAAAATAAGGAGTTTTATCTCCAACCTCTTGTGTGTGAGTTGAGAGTGATTATATCACCACCGCAGGGCTGAACAAGGGTGAATATGAAGCAAAAAGACTTGTGAAAGGTATATTTGATTCTTATTTTAAGCCATTACCATTCTGAGGACACAGTGCCATACAGGATAACGCACTCGTAATAAAACACAAAAGAATGTAAAATGTCATTGAACAGAGTCTATTACACTAGTGAATGGAAAAAGTCTGTGTGTGGCTGTGAAAATAATTACACTGCGATAGCCACAAGGAAATGAATGAGCCTGGATTTCCATTCAGGCTTTTCAGGCAAGCTTTCCACATAAACACAGCAGATTATGTGTGACAGCCAAATGGAAAAGATGCACCTGATGTGGGACAGACCTCATAAGAGAAGCTATCACAGACCTGAATGGGGAAAAATCTTAACGAAATATTATTGTGGGTACAGGATGTTGTTATGGAGGACTAAACATAACTTTTGTAGCAATTTCTCCTGTTAAATAGAAGAATCTATTGTAGTTCCAGTCATACAAAGATACTCTTCTTTGTAAAAAATCATACACAGCCACACACACTCCTTATCTCTCCACACTTTAATGCACCCAGTAGGCATAACCACTCACGTGCATTGAGGAAGTGATGGACAACTGTGAATGAATATGATTTGAATGAATGAGGTTGTGGCTACTATGCTCTCAGTGCACATCACAGTAACCTCCTGTTGGGAGTTTGCACAGGCCAAATTCATTAACACAGTTTGTAATCAGACCGTGGCGAAGGCAGGAAGGGCTGCCTGCAGCTTCTCTGACGCACAATGGCAGTCAGAGCACTTATAAGCACAGGAAGAAACTTGCATGATAGATGTATCATACTATATGATGTTTGCTTCTTAAGAATTCTGGATGTGATCTTAACTCAAGTAAAAAAAATAAAAGAAAATTAAGAAGTATTTCTGTTAACATTGCACCATTTTGTAAAGATTACAACTGATAGCTGCATTATGTGTGATACTATGTGATGTTTCCTTCTTGAGAATTCTGGATGTGACCTCAACAACAACAACAGAGATAGTTTGTTAATGTTGCAACATTTTCCAAAGATTACAATTGATCCACCTGCAAAAACAAGCAGTGTCAGGGAAAATCAAGAAACCCCATACTGGCTAAAACATGCGAAGTAATGTGAATGTAACAAGGATCTATCTAAACAAATAATATTTTTTTGCTCTGAGATTTAGACACGTACACGCAGTGAAGCTGGAATTCTCTCAATGGGTAGTCTGCAGCTATAAAAACAACCAGTCAGAATAACAGGGTGAAGACCATTTTTTCCCAAACTCTGGAAAAGATAATGCTGTAAGGAGCAGCTGACCGCAGGCATTTTAATAAACTGCTATGACTTTAGCAGAGAAAGCTGCTTCTGAAGCAGTTCCAGTATGAGAAAAGCCTCATTTGCATTGTTGATCGGGCCATTTAGAAAACATGACAATGATGTCATTAGACATATTTATAGGTCAATGAGACATTTGCTGAGACATTTGAGAGAAGTGGTGAGGCATTTATCAATGACTTGCGATTAAAATCTCCTATCAGAGAATAACATAGGTGAGAAGATCTTTGATGGGAGTCCTGAAATGGAAGGGCCCGGATGACCTCAGTGTAATAGGCATGGGCCGCTATAAGACTCTAACTGTGTAATAACCTTGGATAAAAATATCACGGTTTTGCGTTATTGTCATTACTGCTCTAAAATATATTCTTTTAAATGTCTGTGTAAAAAAACAAAAACTTTTTTTTACCCTTTTCAACACACTATATTTTATTTTGAGAAACATTTAAAGATATTTTGGAGCAGTAAACATGCCAATCTAAATAATTCAAATAAAACATTTACTTCTGCTTTTTCTATTAGTTTCTAAAGCAGATCTTTGGGCATCTGTTCTGAGAAACTGTTGTCCTAAAAAAATTTAAAAAACGAAACCGTAAACATACCTTAGCAACAGTATAGCAGACATTTTTTGACGGTTTTAAAAGCTTGATTTTTCCAAACCACTGTATACCTTGAAAACCATTATCATCCCATGCCTCCAGTGTAAACTGCAGGTACCCAACTTAACCCATTCTAATCTCATGCAATTTGATAAACAAAAAACAAGGCATTCTAGACTTGTAGAGCACATCAGAAGTTGCTGAAGGCATTAGAAACAGCTGTACCAAATAAAACTTTAACTACAGAGTTGACCTCTTTTTTTTCAACACAATGGTCGTGGTTGAGAGGGTTTGTGTATGAAACACTGCATGCATGAGAAAGCCCTTGCCTTGTGGTATGTCTGGTTTCAAGGCAGAAGCAGAAGGTCACATCTTATAAAGCTAGGATGAGGCCATGATGTAAGAGAAATAAATAAATAAAGGCATGGTTTCCATCCTTCCAGTCCACTGATCCTATATTAGATGACCTGATTTTAAGTCCCTTAGCATCAACAAGAAATTTGGACAGTGAAGGGTACTGATGCTCTTCTGGGCTGGAGTCAGTGCTATATAGACAGACAAATGGAGAATTGCTCAGCATTTAAATGCTAAATGCTTTCAAAAATGTCTTGTTATGACCTATTCATGTCTTATGATTCTTGTCTGTATATGAGCCACTCCACGCTAATGTCAACATTGCCATAAAAAATGAGGTTTTCACCAAAATAGAGAAACTGTTTCTACATTTTTTTTGTGTAGGCAAGTATTTTCCAGTACTTTAGAAACACTCAAAAATGTCTCTGTAGGTGTTTTTAAACTATTATATTTGATTTACCAAAGTCACACAAGAGCCAATTTTACATCTGTCACATCTATAACCAAGGTTTTCCCTCATAAATGCAAAAATGTCAAATAAAATAAAATCAGTGATGTTTCTTCTACAAAGAGCCGGCTCTCATCCTTTTGATTAGCATTGTTTCTTTTGGGTTGTGCAGTTTAATTCACAGAATTTCTACAAAATATATTGAATACTGCAAACTCGCAGACTTTCCTGTCACATCCATATTACATGTTTATTTTTCTTATTTAAAATATGAAAAATGTTTACAGATTGATTTTTTTCTGATCTCATAACTTTGTAGTCAGTTGTTTAGGGAAATATAAACAGTTGCTTCAGAATAATGCTATAACGTATACTTTCTATGTGATTTTATGTTTTGAGTTTTTACTGCAAATGTTACATTCATAACGCTGAAATTGCTCATATATATATATATATATATATATATATATATATAAAAATTCAGATGGCACTTATATATAGTGCCATCTAAAATTTCCTTTAAAAATAAAAAAAAATTTCAGCCTCCTTTGTTTATGTTGAGATATTTCACTTTAGAGACCAGGAAAAGGACTTATTCTTTGCCATAAAAGTGATATTACTAAACATACACAGAAGCCTGATTTTAAAAAAATGCTCATTTTACAGGAAAATTTCAGACGGCATTTAGAGGTTTTTGCATCTAAACTTTTCATATAGTGCAGATTCTTCTTTTTTCTGATGATTTAGACTTTATTTACTATGGTCAAAAATAAAACTGTTTCAGTTGGGTTGCTTAATATAATAAATAGCTGATGTATTTCGAAATCATCTCTTTTTGAGCAACCTCAAAGCAGCACTTTTACATCACTGTGTCTTTTCTTCTTCTTCTTTTCTTTCCATGAAACACTGAAGTAACATTAATTCAGCTTTATGATTTTTTCCCCCTCCGGAACTTATTTCACCTCCAGCCATGGCAGACTTGGGTTAACTCCTTGTAGTAAGATAATAACCACACCACATGTCCCGTCTTCTCACTCATAACAGATTATGGGTGGGCTTTGGGGGATGCACACACTCTACATGACCTAGAAATCACTGCCTACAGCCTCTATAATGCCTGCTCCTCCACCGCTCACACACACACTGTAAGACAAAGCACTGTGTTGTTTTCCACTTATCCCCTTATCAGAATGGGCCCTGCTTATTAAAGCAAAGCTGAATAGTTCAACATACCCGCACTTGAGACTCACAGGGAACTAAAACAGAGCAGGAACTGTCTCTTTGGAAGAAGATAACCTTCATAAAGCCGGCAGATGGATTGCTTTCCTTGTGATATTTATCCAATACAACATATTATGTTGTGTGGATATTAGCCTATTATTGTTTATATAGTCTTTTAAAAATTCTTATATGGTAAATAGTGGTTGTGTGAAGATGAAAGTCCAAACACTGGGTCATCCGAGTTGAGACGAGAAGTTTGCCTCAGCAAAAAGTGCGTCCAGAGGAACCAGCGCTGCCACGTAACTGCCTCGGCTACTGTCACGGCCGACTGGACTCCAGTGATAAGAAACGTCAACGTGTGACAGTAACCTAATTTGTTTGAATTTTATTTTTTAACGATATCAGCCATCACCCTTCGAGGTAGGCTACCCTACTAAAATAGGCAAACGCGTAAATAAACAGACTATTTCTCAATGTAACAGTGCATTGTAAGAAGCAGCTGAATGATAACTGACAGACACTGCCCTGTGTTTTAGCAAAGAATGATGAGAAACACGACTGAGAGGAACAAACCTGTCCGATATAAAAACACGAATCAGTCCTGCGAGTTGTTTACAATTTGGAATTACCGTTCCCCTTTAACAACATAAATCATAGAATAAACTACAGTGATAAAACACACACACACCATCCGTTCAGTATAGGTCTTTACCTGACTTTATCGTCTTCAGCGTAAACCGTTGAACGATCCTCTCTGTTCTTTGTATAGCCTATTCGGAGAGTCTCTCTTTGTATTTATCTGTCTTGAAACCAGAAGCAGCCAGTTTAGCCGATGCCGCTGCCTCCCCGCTGAATAAATATGAGGATCCGTGACGTACCGCCAGGAAACCGGCGCTGAAGCGAGTCTTGGCGTGACTCACTGTTTGCCACAGGGGCGTTTAAACGGCACGCAAAGCCCACCCTACCTGTAAAATAATGAGTGAGTAGAACTGAGTTTGTTCATGTAGATTAGCCTACGGGGAACGCCTGTACTTAAATAAACAAATACAGTAGTCAACATTTAAAGTGGATCAAAATTATCCTATAAGACAAGAATGAGTGTTGTTCAATAATTTCACAACTTTGAATATGTTTTGATACAAATGTTGACTAGGCTAATCAGGCATGGTTTAAGGAATCGCCCAATAAATCAATGTTTTAAAAACACCAATCTCACTGTAGTAATACAGGCTACATGAAATCAGAAATACGTATGATAAGTGTTTCTAAAATATTTAACAACAGGTCCCTAAGTCACTCTTTATTCATAAGCACATACTACTTGACAACTAATAATAATAATAATAATAATAATAATAATAATAATAATAGTTACTATTATTATTATTGTTGTTGTTGTTGTTGTTGTTGATATACTGTATATATATATATATATATATATATATATATATATATATATATATATATATATATATATATATATATATATATATGCTGCAACTGACTATATTAATATTGAATACTACAATTAATATTATTAATATAATGTAAACACCCCGGGCTAACAATAAAAAAATAAGGAAAAAGGCTGATGGCATTTTAACTGCACGTTGTTGGTTTTAATGTATACTCGTGAATACTATTTTTATTTTCTGTTGGTTATGGATAAAATATGGTAATTATAGTAGTTTAATCAATTTAATTAGATATTTTTAAATCACCAAGAGACCCCCCACACACACACACACACACACACTTTGGGAACCACTGCCTTATTACACTACAATAATAGTATAATAATTATTATAAAGGTAACATGCCTATATCTGTTCATCTCTAGGCCTAGTGCATTGTCTGAGGTTATTTTTAAATATTAATTTTACCTAAACACATTTTCTGACCAAAGCTCTGTGATGTAATACAGCATTAGTTGATTTTTTTTCTGTCATGAAGATTAAATGCAAGCTTTGACATTAATGTAATAATGTGGCAATCTGGTTTTAATTTGTATTTGTGTCTTTAAAGATATTAAAAGGTTTTCATCCAAAAATGAAACATTTCTCACTATTAACAAACCATCATGTGGTTACAAACCTTTATTAGTTTTTTTTTTCACTGTACACAAAAGAAGATATTTAGAAAAAAGCTCAACAGATTTCCATTTGTAAAAAAAAACAAAACATGGAAGTCAGTGCAGTGGTTTCAGATTAACACTTTTCAAAATATCTTCTTTTACGTATGTTTAACAGAAGAAAGAAACTCAAAGGATTCAAACAAGTGAAGGATGAGTAAATGATGACAGAATTGTATTTTGGGTGTGCTGTTCTTTTAATCTCACCAGACTAGTAATTTTTTGTAGCTGTCATTTCTTCTTAGTTGTTGTTGACTAAGCTGTAGTTCAGCAGATTCACAACTTCTCTTTTTTTAGATTCAGTGGAACATTCTGTTCTTGCTGTGGAAAAAACAATAGTTGTTAGTTTCGCTTGTCTCTACAGTTCATGACATGTGCTGATATGATGTCCTAAATTCATACGATTTTCCTAGAAATGCCAATAAAAATGTGTTAGATGCATTATTTATTAATATTTATTATTCATGGATGCTTTGGTCAATGCTTTTATCCAATTGTTTAACACATATTTTTACAAGCTGCACATCTGTTTTTCCTCAGTTTTCTTATTGATTTTACATGACTGTTCTCCTAATGATCTTTGACATATGTTCAGCATGCATGTGAAAGAGTCAACTGTTTTGAATAGAAGGAAAATGTGCTACAAGCACCTTATAATGGTTTTAAACAGAAATCATTAGTTATATGATCATGGTGTCTTTATGAAACAGTAAGGAACTATATTTTTTGGAAACTTGAGTTGGTAAGGGTCAACATATTCTAGTGCCAAGTGATTAAAGGTCCACTTGCAGGCTTTGTTTTAAAACACACACATGCACACAAGGATTAGCGGTGGTCAGTACGTTCCTGAAATGTGGTTTCACTAAAACTAGTTAAAACCCTTTCATGAATGGGTGCCAAAGCACAACTGATTGTAATTAAAACACAGGATTTAGAAGCGTTCCATTTGGGAATTAGAAAGCAACCAAAAAGCATGATCTCATACAAAAGGCCCCCTGCATGCCTGTTTACTGTATCACTTGATTATTAAAAAGATTTCATTTTCTGTAATTTAGATGTTACCATTGAAGGTAATCTTTTAGTTTAAGTAAATAAAAACAGGAATTTTTTAGGAGCATGAAAATAGTTATCATCATCTATGTAAACTATAAAAAACTTCATTTGTGATAACAGTCACATTTTCTCCATCCATTTTACATGTTCAGTCTATTAGCATGAAAGCTTGACAGCCAAAACAACAGTGCTGGAAGAAATGGCCGATTATGTGTATTTATGCCATATGTGATTTACTGTAAACGTAATAAATTAAAATTGTTTGTGCATTGATAAGAATAATAGAAATGTATGATTCTATATCTGACCGTGTGAACGAATATCTTCGTTGCTTGAACACTTTGTCATAAAAATAGGGGTGTAACGGATCATGGTTCATTAAGAACATACTTCACCCATGAATTAAAACTTTTTTTTTACTACTAATGTGTAACGATCGCAGAGAGAGCGCGCCATTCAAATCACACATAGCATTTAGGTTTTTCTGTAAAATACGGAAATTTTTGTAGGTTATTCGGGATGTGGTGGGATTCTTAGGTTATTATAGGTGTTTTCTGTCATTACTTCTTTAGCCTGCATTAATGCATTCAATGTAAGCTGCATGATTAAAAGTGATTAAAAGTGTGGGATTCCAACAATCATATGACAAATTATAAATGATGGTGATTTGCATGTTTATTAATCTTTCGAATCGCTGTAGTCAAATGTGTTAGGAAAAAGTACAAAAACAAAAAAAAGGGTTCAGTGTTTAGTTTACAAACAGTCAAATAGCACAGAAGTACTGGGATAACAGTTTATAGTTTAGATGTAATCACTGATGTTTATGGTAAAGATTAAAATCCCCTTCTTGCATTTATCTTGACCTTCAAAAATGAAAGTTGTAGGCAGCAATTACAATATTTAACCAATAGGTGGTGACAACCAGCCATCAAAAATATGCCACTGAATAATTCTTCAAAAATGACTCAATGAAAGCATGAAACAAAGGTTTAAGAGTGAATAACTGAATCGTTTATTTATAATGAAACTAAAATTGTGCACAAATTATAATGTTAGATTTCTACATTCAGCAAAAGTAGTAGTAACAGTTATTTTTTCACAGTACTGAATATTTCATAATTCCCTTTTTTCAGCTGGGTATTTCTTGATTTTATTTTTATTAAAATTACAGGTTCTCAGTTCTGTTGTTAAAACCAAAAGCATCCTACAGTGCTGTTTTTGTAATAAATGGAAAGCAAATTACATTGGTCTCCTCCCCTTTTGGTCTGATCTGAAAAATAGTCCAATACGTGACTAAAAAAAAAAATATATATATATATATATGTTTTCCGAACTGTAAGATTTGTGATTCATTACACCACCGTCTTTCGGATGAGACATTAAACCGAGGTCCTGACTCTGTGGTCATTAAAAATCCCATGGCACTTCTCGTAAAGAGCAGGGGTGTAATCCCGGTGTCCTGGCTAAAGTACCTCAATCCGTCCTTACGATCGTGGCGTCCCAATCATCCCCATCCACCGAATTGGCTGTATCACTGTCTCTCCACCAATAGCTAGTGTGTGGTGAGCGCACTGGCGCCGTTGTCCTGTGGCTGCCGTCGCATCATCCAAGTGGATGCTACACACTGGTGGTGGTGTGGAGAGACCCCCCCCCCCCCCCCTCATGATTGTGAAGCGCTTTGAGTGTATGGCCATACACGATAAATGCGCTATATAAATACACTTTACATTACACTAAAAATAATACACATGTACTAATACACAAGCATTTAATTGCCTACTGTCATACAGTCATTTTTTTAGATTGTTGTAAAATTATTGTAAAGCAAAACTTTTCAAAAACGCTCCAAAAATATATATTTTTTCATGCAGTATAAAAATCCTCAAACACTGGTCATATTTCTCTGTTTTGACAACATATTAGCATCAAAACCCTGTTTGTTTTGGGAGAAGTCATTTGCCATTTGAGTGTGAAGTATTTCCATTACACAGATAAAGTCTCTCAGACATGCTTATTATGCTGTTTCATGGGACAGAAAATGATGTTGTTGAATCGAAATGATCTGTTAACCCAGTCTAATTATAAACTAAATTTTTGTTCTCTTTATCTGAGGAATCACTGTTGTGGGGTGGCACGGTGCTTCAGTCAATAGTATCTGGATGCAGCCTTTATGATGCAAACAGAGTGCATCACTCAGCAATGCAATGTCAGACTCAATGCACTCAAATGGACTGAGTGACATCACTGTGTAGTGTAGGTAGGGTTAGGTGAGCCCATTAAAAAGCATTGGATGCAGCCCAGATTGCACTGCATTAGACCCCTCTCGACTCGGTGGTTAGCACTGTCACCTCACAGCAAGAATGTTGCTGGTTCAAATCCCGGCTGGGCCTGTTGGCATTTCTGTGTGGACTTTGAGTTTCCGGGTGCTTGGGTATAGGTGAATTAGATTAACTAAATTGGCTGTAGTGTGTCAGTGTGTGTGAATGTGAAAGTGTGTATGGGTGTTTCCCAGTACTGGGTTGCAGCTGGAAGAGCATTTGCTGCGTAAAACATATGTTGGCAGTTGGCGATTCATTCCACTGTGGTGACCATTGATAATCATGGATTACCTGTAGGAAAACGATTGAATGAATGAATCACTGTTGTTACTTTAAGATCATTTATTCATTTTTCTTCTGCTTAGTCTCTGATTATCAGGGGTC